GATAAATTACTACGTAGCATACAGTTGTAACCCTATCCAGTCCCCAAAAATACTTTGACACGTTTCGACTATTTTGGTGTATTTTTTTGAGTAAATTCTATAAAAAATGCCTAGTTATAGTTCATTTTACATATTTAGTCACTACATATCAAATATCTATATTTTAGTCTCGAATTATTATATTATTTTTCACGAATTGTCCTTTGTTAACATTTCCGTTAAAAACGTAGAAAAATTATAAATTCACGTTCCTCTCTCCTCAATTAAGCTTACTCTCTCCTCTCGCACTCCTTTTCCAAACCTGTAGTTTGAAGCTTTGAACCCAAAACCGAAATCATTCCTCTTCTCTCAATTGCACGTCATCCAGATGGAGTCCAAAATCAAAACGAGTAACCTTCATGGATGAGTTTTAAGGTTTGTTTTTTTTGCAATTTCTTGAGACCAACCCATAAAATTCATCCATAAAGGTTATTAGTTTTGATTTTGGGTCACCGAAAAGATGAACAATTGAGAGAGGATTGATCGTTTTGATTTTGGGTTTAGTGCTTCAAACTCAGCGACGTGTTTGGCAATGAGTACGAGAGGAGGGATGAAGCTTAATTGAAGAGAGAGAGGAGTGTGAATATACAATTTTATCCATGTTTTTAACGGAAATATTAACAGAGGACTATTTGTGGAAAACAATATATTAATTAGAGACTAAGTTATTGATATTTGATATGTAAGGATTAAATATGTAAAACGACCTATAGCGATGGACTTTTTATGGAATTTACTCTATTTTTTTATACACATTTTGACTATAAGTTGTAAAAAAGAGTATTTTTAATTATAACGTACGCGTAAATACAAATGTAATTGAGGTAATTTTAAGATGTAATATTGATAAATCAAATCTATGATATTTTTAATGAACAAAATTTTGTTGACATTGAGTTTCAATGTAATATTATAGCATTATTAGTTCTATTGGGGTATTTACGATATTCCAGTTGAAAAGTTGACAGTTCTTTTCCTCAAGTCTGACTTAGCCCGGACTTGGAAGTTTACCGGAGGTTAAAAATATTGGAGCCATAAAATTTTTACTGGATCTCGTGAAAAGTTGACAGTTCTTTACACATATAACCTTATGAATTTGCGTTTAAAGCTTAATTACCCCTTGATGTAATACATATTTCGTCTAAAAAAGAGGTTCTCGTTTTAATTTTTGATATTATAATTATCTTTGTTTTAAAATATTGTAGAATTGATGGAAAATTAATATGGTGGAGAAATGTCAAAGCAAGGTGAAGAGCAGCATGCAAGTAACTTGTAGCCCAACATTGATTATTTGAATTGTTATTAGACCCATGACTGGAACTGCGTCCAACTAAACGATCCGGCCCAAAAAACAAACCAAAAACCGCCGTTGCCGTGGATTGAACCCGAGTCACCCGCGTGACAGGCAGGAACACTTACCACTATACTACAACGACTTGTTTGATCTTTGAATGGGTCGCATAAATACAACGTAATCAATTGGCCAAAATTGAGCCCACTTGCAGTTGTTTTCATTCATGGCAGATGACATGTCTAGAAGCTCCTCGAAGGTGGTGTAGAAAGAGGATTTACCTTAGAAGAAATGCAATTAAGCTTCTGAAAAGTGGTGCAGAAAGAGGGTTTATTGGAGAAGAAATACAAATGAAGATCCTTAAACTCTGGAAGGTGGTGTTGAAAGAGGGTTTACTAGAGAAATGCAATTGAAACTTCTCCTAGTCTAGAAGATGGTGGAGAAAGAGAGTTTCAAGAAATGCAAATGAAGGTGGTGGCAAAATAGGTTTTCTATACACTTTTTTTTAACTAATTATTCGTCTTTTAGTTTATTTGCTTGTATTTATTTTTTGTTTCCTTTTTCTTTATGCTACATTTTCGGTTTGAATTTGAAGTATTTCTATGTTATGTACACAAAATCCTATTGGTATGTATGATAATCTTAGTGCGGTTTTGTTAAAGAATAACATTTTCAACCCTTTTGGTTGTCTTTTGTAACATTGCATCGAACCATTGGTCTGACTCACGAAACCTATTACTCTGCGTGTGCATGTCTGTTGGTAAGCGTCAAATAAATTTCACATTTTAGATAAATTACTACGTAGCATACAGTTGTAA